AAGAAATTGCTAATATACTCTCTATATTTTTTAATCGTAGTATGTTATCAATTTATATCAAAATTTTAAGATTAAAAAATTACTCATTTCTTTTGATTCAGTTAATTTGTATAAAAGATATTATAGTAATTTAATTTAATTTAAAATAAAATAAAATATTTTCTCTTTCTTATTAATTTCATTCTCTAGGTCATTTCTCTCTCCTATTAAATTTTTCTCGAACTCATTTCTCTCTCTTATTAAATTCCTTCTTTAACACATTCATCTCTCTCCTATTAAATTCCTTCTTTAACTCATTTCTCTTTCATCTCTCATGATGTCCCCTTTCTCTTTCTCTGAACAAATAAAAATTACTCCCTCCGTTTTTTTTCATAGTCGTTTAAGGTTTTGCACTGGATTTAAGGAAATCATTGATATTTTAGTTTTCAAAAATGTTTATTACTTACTTTCCAATTTTACCCTTTACTTTTTTTTTTGCATTTTTTAGACTGTTGAACTACTCCATTAAATAGTTGTCCCTTTTTTTGTTTTTTTTTTTATAGTATTTTGTTGAGAATATATTGCTCTTATAAATGCATATTAACTTTATATGAGTAGTTGGAGAAAAATTAGGTAGATATTAAAAATAAATACACACATTGTTCAGCAAACATGTATTAATTATCAAGGGTAAAAATGGAAGAAAAAAATTAATAACTTATTGATTTTAGTAATATGACAATGAAAAAAAAATAACAAACTCTGACAAAATGACTATGAAAAAAAAACGGAGGGAGTAATTAATAGAAAATGAAATATGTTAGAGAATAAAGTTAATAAGAGAAAAAATATTTTATTTTCCTTTAAAGTTAAATTAAATTACTATAATATCATTTATACAAATTAATCGAATAAAAAAAATGAGTGATTTTTTTGTCCTAAAATTTTGGTATAGATTGCTAACATACTCCAACTAAAAAATAAATGTGAGTATATTAGCAATTCCCATATATATATATATATAAGTCTCAAATAAAAAATGTTGTTTTATTTTTATAAGAAAATTTAAAATATTTCTTATACTAATTATTTTTTAGAAAAAATTCTCAATCAGTAATTTTCTTAATTTACTCCCTCCATCTTAAATTAACTACAGTTTTAATATTTAAAAATTATCAAATTAATTGATATTTTTACTTTTTAATATAATATTAATTATTTTTTTAATTTATCTATTCATTAGTTATTCAACTGAAAGAGTGAAATTATTTTAATAAAAATATATTAAAAATGATATATTTATTACTATTCTTAAAATGTGTGTAAAAAGTTTAAAATGTAGTAGTTGTTTTGGGATGAAAAGAATAATAAATAACGGGTGATAATTAAGTATCTCATTAATATTAGATGGGAATAATTTTGAATAAATTTAGTGCTATCAATTCAATTAACTAAAATCCTTAATTATGATAAATTAAGTAATTATGTCTTATAAATTATTTTTCGAAATTAGTATATCCATATTTAAAATTTATTATAAGAGTAATTAATTATAGAGTTGTAAAATTAAATAGGGATATATATATATATATATAT